AGATAGATAGATAGATAGATAGATAGATAGATAGATAGATAGATAGATATTGCCATTTGCACTGGTACAGGAATTGTTATGTGTGGCTCACAGAGTTGGCTTTCAAGATAGAAGAGAAAATTAATGAAAAAGAGCATCATTAATAATAATGATCCTAAACTAGTATAAAAATAGAGTATAAAAAGGAAAAACTCTCTGGATTATTGCAGCTTGATGTAGCAGAAGACTATGGAGGTTCAACTTCAGTCAAAGAACTGTACCTCTAAGAGTATCATCCTCAACACTGGTTCTCTATAAGGTTGTGTGCTAAGCCTGTTGCTGTAATCTCTCCACGCACATGACTGTGTGGCCAGAGACGATTCCAGTTCCATTTGTGGATGATACAGAGGTGTTGGACCTCATCTCTAACAATGAGAGACAGCTTTCCTTGATGACGCGGACAGTCGCAACAATGTCAGCAAAACAAGGGAATTGACCGTGGACTTCAGCAGAAGAGTCCCACCAGTGAGGCACCACTGGAGTGAGGCAGCACTGGAGAGAATGAAAAGCTTTAGGTGTCTCGCAGTGCATCTCCAGTAGGATCTGTCATGGATCCCACACACTCAAGGCCAGGTCGCCGACACCATTCACTGCAGGACCAAAGGACCTTACACATTTCAGTAACTGCTTGTTTAACCTACTGAAATCAAGCAAACGCCTCAGCAGTCTGTTGGCTACAACAGAGTGGCTCGAGAGGAACTTCTGTCCTTCTTGACATGGACATGCCCAATGACTTTTTCAAATAACTGTTGGTTAATTATTAATGTCACTTCACAGTATAATGTAACAACTTCCCACAACATTGTTCACTTTCATGTCCATATACAATTTCCCTTGTCATTAAGATGATGATTGTTAAAATTGGACACCTGGCAAAATGGGACAGTTAAACTTTGCAGTTAATATATGTGTTTAGTGGGCTAATTCTTTATGTTCTCTTCTATGTAATGTTCAAGGGGCATTAATGTATTTAGAATGGTACGAGGTCGGGATTCAAGACACTGAGATGATTTTTCCTGAAAGCACATTTTCAGAAGGTGTCCCATTTTAACAATACTCACCCCAATTGTTTACTTTCAAGTCCAAATATACTGCTATTTGCACACTGCCTACCATACACGCTGTAGGTAATAACATTACACTGTCTCCGAATAGTATTTTTATCCATGTCATTCATGTATCTTCTATTTAGCCCTCATTGGCTCACCCACTTTACTTAATTAATTTAATTTCACCTTTATTTATCTACACTCTTTTTTTTGTACAGTCGTTGGAGCAAGCAAAACTGTGCACGCGACAAATAAAACCTGAATCCCGAAGGGCTAGTCTCCTGAACATAAGAGTCTGTTAAACAAGTTTTCTTTTTATGTCGTCAACTTAAAAGTCATCAACGAAAATACAGCTGAAGTTAACAAATAATAAGGACAGTCACTAGAGGGAGCCTGTGTGCCGATATAACTGCATGGCGGTGAGTGGCTTCGCAGGTGATCGTTAGGTTGTCTGTTTAAATCCCCAGGCCGGCAGAGTGGTTTCAACGTTGGGCCCTTCCGTAAGACCCCTAACCACAGTTGCTCCAGGGACTGGCTGACCCTGCTCTTTGATCCTCACTTCTACATCGCTTTGGCCAAATAAACAAATATTCATATAATCTCCACCCTTGAGGAAAACTAGGATGTTTTGAGAAGAAATCCAGCCTGCAGGCAGAATGGGGAGCATGAAAATGATAGCGTTTCATAATGTTGTTTTGGTTGTTTTTAATATTATGCGGTGTAAAATGGTGTAAAACCTTGTTTTAAAATTGAGCTTACCCCTATCATACGCAGTATAAAGCTGTGTTATACACTGGACGGAATGCCAGTCTATTACAGGATATATGCTGACACAATCATACGAATATATATATATATTTATCATACGAATATATAGGGCTGCACGATACGCTGTTTTAGCGTCATCATCGCGTTTTGCGCATGCGCAATAATCACATCGCTTCTGTATGGACTGTTTCGTGTTTCGACAAAACTTGCCCCAACACCAACTTATTTGACGCACTCTTATTAATAGGCTTAGATAATAAGTTCTGTTTGATTGTAGTTTATTTCGGGTAATGTCATCTCTTTCTTTTTTTTGTCTTATAAATATCGTAATATTAGTCGCGGAAATTTCACATATCGCTGTGTGATATCCTGCTCCCTTGGTCTAGTGTATATTTCAGTTGTTATTGGGTGCTGTCACGTAAATGTTGACGCCCGATAATATAGATGGAATTCAACCAGAACCTTCTGTCTTCTGCCCAGGTTTCCAGACATTCCCGAAGGCATGTTCATCATTGAAGTTCTCGCATGGATAAAATAATACAGCGCCTTGTATCATGCCGTATATGTATAGTAACAGTATTATGTAGGATGCTATATTTTAAATACAGTACGAGCATATATAAAGTCGTGTGCTTTTGTCCAGAGACTCTAAATGTGTTCTTTCGTGTTTCTTTTAGTGCTGTTTCCGTATTCAAAAATCTCTATAACAAACCAATTATAAACTTATAAGTGAAACCCAAACTTCTTTGTTCTGCATCAGTTTTGCTGCACGTGTCATTGATTTCATCTGTTTCCCGTCCGATGCCAATCAAGCGGTAACGGCCCGCAGCGCTGGACTGGTCGGCGGTGAGACTTTGATTTGAGCCGGATGCTGTGGGATTGTCCTCCCCCGGCTGCGGTGCCAGTCTTTGCGGCAGGAGGTCAGTGCGTAGCCGAACAGCCCTATCCGCCCGTCTCCGCCTCCCGCAGCCAGTCCGCCTCAAGTCCCCCGCACTCCCGCAGCCCGTCCGGACAGACAGCCGAAGATGGCGGAGGAAAAGCGGCCGCTAATCGGTGAGCAACGCCGCTGCTGGCATGTTCCCGGATACGGCTGGGGCTGATTGTCCGCGCCGACAGCGCAGTTTATCGGAGGGGGACTTTGTAAACAAACTCGGCACGGGGGGGACTTTGTAAGCAAACTTGGCACCGATGAGTAGTTTGGGCAGCCTGCGTTGCGGTACCCCTCACCCGGTTCAGTCTGTCGCGGTACTTTACCCGATCCGACTCGGAATTGTCTGCTTTTCCCTTCGGTTATATCTGTTAACAGAATTACTGGTGTGAGTTAAAAGGTGCAGCTGGTGTACGAGATTAAGCGCTTCGTACCAAGCCGGGTGCAGAGACTCCGCTTTAGATGCTGGGGCATCCATCCATCCATCCGGCTCCTCGCTTCCACACTCCGTCCGATTGAACTGTTAACCCGTACAAAGCAGCGCAGTGTCATATTGGGAATACTGGGACGTTAGGTCATCTGCAGCTGGAAAGTGCCCTCCCCACATTTCCCCTGCCCCTTGTGCAGTCAAGGCGCTTAGGGCTTTATATCTCGCAGTGATCTGGTTAGCTTGAATTTGGCTGAAAGCGAAGAGCCAGAGAACAGTGTGTGAAGAACATTTGCACACTATAAAGTATCTAATATGATGCATATTTGTTTGTCTGTCATCCAGATGTACAGTTACTGTGTGTATATATGTATATATATGTATATGTGTGTATGTATGTATGTATGTATGTGTGTGTGTGTGTGTGTGTGTGTGTGTGTGTATGTATATGTGTGTGTATATATATATATATATATATATATATATATATATTATAAAAATAAATAAAAAAATACCCTAAATTTGAGACTTAGGTCTTGGAGCTGGAGACCCTGTGTTTCAGTGCTTCTTCCAAGGAGACTTGGCCGTGTTCGCCATGGCTGTGAGAGCCGTCAGCGGCGGAAGGTGAAATCTGCCACCACCGGGACAAGTGACTGGTGTAGTAAGTCACTGGCTGCAGTGACTGGGTGTTCACTGTGTGCAGTGTTATTGATGTAGGGGTAACAGCTTGTGTAATACCAGAATATTTGGTGTCCTTTTGTGGTGCAAACTGTCTGAGCTGAACCAACTCATTTTGAGCAGGGTATTACTGGCATTTTACACTGCCTTCTTTAAATCATCCTGCTCTGTACAGCACGTTCCTCAATCCCCACCCCAACCGCTCCACCAAACAGCTCGTTCCTTCATTCTAGGTCCGTTCAGGAAACAGAAATGCCAAAGAAAGTGATGAAGCTGATGGTGTAACTCTGTTCTTATGGTGAGTTCTGCCCAGGGTCGGCTTGGCTTAATTCTGCACCTTCGGGTAGGTGCTGCTGCAGGCTTCTGTCCCGGAAGGATCACCGGGCCGTTTGCACACGGTGCCCAGAACGGCAGTGATGTGATTGGGCAATTGCCTGGGGTCCCCCCCTGTCACTCTCTCTCTCTCCCTGGGGTGAGCATCAGTGTCAGTGCCTGTCACTGTATGTAATTCCCTCCTGAGTTAAATGTCAATTCCTACTCATGCCTAAGACCTGTCACAAACTCAGACTGCAATCCCCCCCCCCCCCAGTTTTGTTTGACTGCAGAGTTCAGTTGTGATGTAGCAAACAAGTCAAATCTGGCTCAGTAGCACTGAGAACCTGTCAAACAAAGAGTTAATGTTGGAAGACTGAGTCTTTGATATCATCACCATGCTGCAGCCCTGCTGATCAGGGTCATCCTGATCTGTCCTTCAGTGAGCCTTGATCCTTCAGTAAGACTGTATCCCCTTCCTTGCTGGCTGTTTCTGCAGCTAAAACTGACAGGCAGGCAGACAGTCGGGCAAATAGAGGGAGGGCTGGATTGTTGCCTTTACACTCAAACGAATATTAATTACGTTATAAGCATGAAATCAAAAGCCTGTTAAAAGTAACTAGTTTAAATAATATAAATGTTTTGATGTTAGCCAGTTGAAAGCCTCTGACGGGTTCACCGGTCCCAGCCTCGGCAGAATAATCTGTGGGCCCGTGAGCCAGACCCTTACCCCCCCAGCTCCATGGGCGCCGCTGCAGGTGGCTGCCCTTCACTGCCAAGCTCGCCCTCACCTACATGTGGAGGGAAAGATGGGGTCAGGGGAAACAAATGGCTTTAATGAGGGTGCCATTATCATTGTACTCCATGATATGATGTGTTTGAGGGTAACACAGTATGGCCCCTGTTTTTAGGGTTCGGCCTTCTTCAGGCCCTCAGAGGTCTAAGGCCCTCAGGTTTACTCTGAGTAATCGGTTAATTGGAGTAATTATTTCAGTAGCACGTCCCTGGTAATCCATGAGACACCAGCTTTCATGTTAGGAATGGGAGGGAGAGAGAGAGGGGGAGAGAAAGGGAGAGAGGAACCAGTACGCATGGTCTGTGTGCCAGAGAGAGAGAGAGAGAGGCTGAGATCCGGCGAGCGGCTTCCTCGTGTGAATCCCACATCAGACCCAGCAGTCCAGCAATCCTGCTCCATGTCTGCCGGTGTGATGGGCCAGGAACCTTCCGGGCTGACTGACTGACCGACTGCGGCGGTGAGCGCATCTCCACCTGTCCGTGTGTGTGTCTGTGTGTGTGTGTGTGAGATATCCTGTATCGTGCAGTGATATCTGTAGCTGTCGAGGCTGTGTGTATAAATATCACATGTTTATATGTGCTTTAGCTGCGTTGCTGCTCTCGTGCGGGGAGGGGGGGTGCTGTCACGGCTCTCGTGTGGGGGGTGCTGTCACGGCTCTCGTGCATTCTGTCACGTGTGTGTTGCCTGTAGACGTGCTCGAGCTGAGCTCCTGTTTGATCCACAGCCAGGCGACACTCGATGAATGTGAACTCCTTTCGGCATTTTTTTGACTTGCTAGTTCTTCCTATGAAGTCCCCCCCCCCCCCCCCTCAGGCTGAGCTCTGTGGGTATGGTGCAGGGCACTGCCTGTTACACTGCTGAGCCCATGTGACCTGCCGCCGCGGCGACGATGAGCTGATAAGGGGCCACTGTCAACAAATGGCATGAAATTAGACCGCAGCACGGGTTAGATCCCGGGGGGCGACGGGGGAGGGGGGCAGGGTTGATGTTCCAGCTTATAGGAGGTGTGACAGTGAGGATGAGCGAGATTCTCTCCCCATCCGTAAAGGGAGTGTCGAGATGAGGAGGAGATGCGATGGGTTCTCGAACCTGCACAAAGCGTCTACCCTCAGTCTGACGCCAAAAGTCCACGCCGCAGGCTAAAGCCTCACGATGCCAGACGGGCGTCAGCTGAGGGGGGGGGCCTCCTCCGATTGGCATGCAGCGTCCGGGGGTGCAGCCCCGCCCCAAGCTGTACCTCTCCTCCTGGGTGCCATGTTGGCACCGCTACCAATGTGCAGCAGGAATCCCCCCCCCGCCACCGCAACAGAGATCGGGCCGCATGTCCTGCGGCCACTTACTGCCCCTTGAGGCCAGATCCTCATGTTGTACTGCGCGTCTGGGCGGGTGTTACACTGCGTACCGGGGGGGGGCTTCCTGGAAGATGTCAGGATTTAGCCAGTTTAGAAGTTGTTGGAAACCAGACGAAAGACGATAGAAGCAAGTCTGACCTTTTGCTTCTGAACATTGAGGTTGTATTTATTGGATGGACCATATGTACGGTAAGTTCATTATGTTTTGGCCCAGTTTGGTCTGTTCAAAGTTCTCCCCACGACTCCTGTTCCTGAATCCTACACCGCCAGCCGTCTCCGGGGCCCGTCACCCTCCTCTATAAGACCCCCGATCTGAGTCCTTCATCCCCGTGGCAGAGAGAGAGAGACTCCCCTCTGTCGCGGGTGGCACTATCTGGCCGGGAACTTGAACAGCTCTTAGTGAGCCATGACCAGACTTGTACCTCAGGGCTGGTCTCTGAAAGCCTCAGGAGAGGTGGCACCTGGGGAGGGGGGGGCACTGCTACTGTGTCAGGAACAGAAAAGTCTGCATGTTTATGAGGTGTTTAACGCGCTTTGAATGGGAGGCATGATATCCAGTTATCCTTTTGTCATTGTCATCGAGAGCCACTGCTGGGAAGCATAGAATCAGTCACCTTTTCCTGATTATGGTGTCATTGCCAAATACACTTACCTCCTTCACCATTGCTTATATACCTAATGTCATTTCATAAATGGACACGACCCCGTTAAGTGATTAGATGCTGGGCGTCAGAGGGCGTTTCTCAGTACCAAGAACGCAAAGATCGCACTTGTGCTCTTGGCAAGAGCCGTCTTGCTAACTTGCCTCCCAAAAACGAACTTGGGGTGCAATGAATCATGGGATTGGTCTCTGCATCCTTGGATGATGCATCCCTGATATTTGAGGTGGGGCAAAAACGGCACCCAGGGATTTTTTTACCATCTCCCGTACTTCTGGTCTTCGGTAATGGAAGATGACGTTAGAAACGGTATGTGAGAACACATGTAGGGTGAGATTCGCATGTTGATGAGCCCAGCGCGGCACTTTCCACAGCGTAAGCTTGTTTTGGTGGCTCCCTCACACAGATGGGGGGGGGGCTGAAAGCTCCACAGTCAGCGGTTCTGCCTGAGCCGTCACTCTGCCGGCCGCCCCGTTGGCCGTATCACTAAGGGCAGCAGACGTCCATGTGGATCCTAGTGCATCGAGCTCTAATCAAACCCTGGATGCCATTTCAGCTGACGGTGGCCCTGGCTGCTTTTGGCAGTATTTCCTGGCACATTAGCGCTGTGACTCAGTTTCTCTACAGTCTTCATAGTCGTGATTTCCACCTGGCTTGTTGGGGCACCACACTATACATCCTGCATGGTAAATGTAGGTACTTGGCGTGATGATCTTGACATCACAATGAACAATAGAGTGATGATCTCGACGTGACGGCGGTCTGTTGGTTAGTGACGATCTCGACGTGACGGCGGTCTGTTGGTTAGTGACGATCTCGACGTGACGGCGGCCGGTTGGTAGGGTAATGATTTGTTCTCAGAATTCTCCGTTCGGGTTTTGTATCATTTTTATCATTCCGGAAGGAAGCTGAGGGTTGTTTGGCAATAATGCTTGAGAACAGAGTTTGTCCCCCATCCTGGTCTGAAGGAAGGTTCTGGATGTATGGAATGTGGACTGAATCCTAGGGGCTACTGTAGATCGCCGTATTTGAAGAGGAGCCCGGGAGCCCAGATCTGAAATGATCCGTCGTGTTTGCATATGTTACACAGCCCCCCCCCCCTTTAGGGTTAGCAAACCTGAAGCCTGGTCTCTTTCAGTCTTTATCTGAGGTTTTTTTTCCCACCTCCACTGCTTCCTGGGTTTGGGCAGGTGTCCTGCTTTTCCCAGAATCTGTCAGGCAGACTCATTACATCCCATCTGTTTGTCCCATTTCGACATTCCCTCTCCCTGGGGAACGTCCCTTTACTTGTAAGCGATGGCAGTAATATGCCTTTCCTTTCTCACGTGCTGCTTCATGTCAGAAATGCTCCAGTGCCTCTCCTAAGGAGGCAGCTGTAAATGTCCCACGCAGGCTGCGGGCCTCTTTCCCGTCATGCCTTGTGCCGCCACCCAGACCCTGATTCGGTGACCATGGGGATTGTGACACTCGCAGCGGTTTCCAGCCCATCGAGTGTGGCTAGCATTAGAAAGGGAAGAACGGAAGAGCGTGTTGAAGCTGCCTCCACATTGCAGGGGTTATGGCACAGAGGCTATTGTGTGCTGGAGCCCAGATTAATGTCCGTTACTCATTATAACTGCGTTTGAATGTCCGACTTGTAAGGAAATGGGCTGTCAGTCACTTTCAGCATAATAAATGCAAATAAGTCAATGTGCCCTGTGACCCGAGAAAGCGGGGAGGGGGGGACTCTGCGTGATCTGCTGTCCTTCCAGGGTCCCTGTAGTTTTCTGATATTGAGCTGGGGTGGGGGGGATGGGCCTGGATGTCAGCTTGATGCATGTGGAGGTCGTGGGAAGAGGTCCCGGCGGGTCAAGATGCCGCTGTGGGAAGTGAGGCAGAGCAGACGCGCAGCGACGCCTGCAGTCCTGACGCCTGCGCTCTCCTGCCGTCCGCAGCCTCGCGAGCTCAGGCGGGGGGGCTTCGGAGCCAGGCGGCTGAGCCCAGCGGGATCGGTGCCACCAGGAGCCCAGGGAGCCGGACAGGTAGGTGGACCGTGCGGTCTCGCGCACACACCCCTGTCGCATTTATACTGCTGCGGCTAAAGCGTCGATCCGAGGTGATCGATGCAGTAATGCAGCTTCTGATCAGACGCAGCTTAGAGGAGGGTGTTGTGTTCCAAAGGCTGATCCTCCAGCATCTCTCTCTTGATTTTGTTCACTCTCGCATTCTTTTTGGATTAATTTACTTTTGCGCTCGCTCTCTCTCTCGCTCTCGATATTCAGTCGAGCTCTCTCTCCTCTCTCTCCCTCCCTCTTCCCTTAATTAGCCAATCATGACAGGTTTGATCGGATCTTGAGTGACGCGTGGGTGTGTGTGACACGCAGGTCCGTGCGCGATCATGTGTGGTGGGCTCTGTAGGGGACACACGGGTCCACACTACCGCCCCTCGCACATCCAGACGCACACCAGCTGCCGTCGCGGCCCTACCGTTGGGCTTTGCTGACGTAATGCTAAGACTGAATGTTTTTGACAATAACTGACACAATGCATGATAAGCTCCCTCTGTATAGGGGCTGGGGGGTGTGCTAACACCAGCACCAAGTGGGGGGGGGGGGGGGGGTTACCTCATTTTCCCTTACATGTGATTCTGTTCACTATCCGGGCAGATTCAGCACAGACTGTCATAGTAACAACTGGGGGTGCAGCAGTACACTGAATTCACAGTTTGGCACAGACGTCGTTTTTTGAGTTCGTGGTTTGGTGCAATTTCACTAGAGCAGGGAAACAATTTGTATTGAAATTTGTTTATTATTCAAACTGCAAACACAATTAGGAAGAGTTGTAAACAAAAGGCAATGTGTCTGTCGACGTGCCTGAGTAACAAAACCTAAGAGATGCTTATTTGCACATCATAAAAATATAAAGTCGCAGCAAAAATGATGAATTACCGAATCGTGTATCTAGCAGAATTTCCTGGCCGAAGTGCCATAAATGCCGCTGGGAGACTAACTTGCAGAGGCTGTTTCTGCCTCGCTCAGGTTGTACACACACTCATGATCGTCTCAAATGAATTAGCATGTTGGATACATTTCTAGCAACATGTATCCAAGTTTGCTGTAATAGAGCCAACAGACAGTCTTCGTTTTAAGAGCTACTCACTCTCCAGTGCTGGAGTAATTTTATTGTGAGACGAATATGTTCCGAAACGGCCGACTGTAACTGTGACCAGCATTAGGCGTAACCAACTCAAAGCCACTTTTATCGTATCGCTTTTCCATATTCAACATCGTCTTGTGGATTTAGGTTCCACCCGTGTCAGTAAATGTATTCATTCTTTTCATTGTGTGTACTGAACTGAAAACGATGTACTGAATAGGTCACAATGAATATGTATACCGTTATAGCCCTAGTAACGGTTAGCAAATGCTAAAGCAAGGTACTGAGATGGGTAAACAAATCTAACCCGTGGCTGTCTTTTAATAACTAGTACTGGTAATGCCAGTGAGGTTCCAGTTCCAGCTGTGGTGACCAACCCGGCAGTGTGGTCTGGAATCAGGACTCTGATAATTAGCTATGTATGTTAAGTCTTTTGCGGGGGCAGGGGAAGTAGCAAAAAGATGGCTATCTTGCCTTGTACCTCATTAGTGCTGACTGTTGGTGGGCTCAGTTCATGTCTAATTCCCCTGCCACCCCTTTAACCAGCCTCGAGAGAATCCCAGGGCACAGAGCGCTGGAGCAAGATGTCACACGACGAGCGCCGATCTGCCACGGAGGGGAAGAGGACCCCGCGGCCGGACGAGAAGGTGGGACGGGGGCGTGTGCTGGTGGGTGGCAGCGTGGCAGGTTACAGGAAGGGCTGCGGGCCTGTTAGTACTGAGAGGCGGCAGACGGGGGCTGCGCTGAAGGGAACTGCTACTCCATGATGCAAGTAACTGCACGTTTCATGTTAATTATGGGTAAAAAAGTAAGGACGTTAATGTAGACCTTGAGCAGTTTACCAGCCCCGATTTTGGGCTGTGGTTTTCCCAGCAGCGTTTATATATAGGTGCGCCTTCCATAAGTGCTTTAGCATTTATGCTTGTGGCCTGGTTTAGTGTCACCTCCGTTTCTGTTGGACGGGACGAATGTGGAGGAGTGTGATGTCATGTCCCTTAGCAAACCAGGCCGCTTCCTCGCTGATGGCTGGTCGCCCTGGGACCGCAGGCCTGCAAAAAAGGTGGGGAGGCCACGTTCACATAGGGAGTCTTAGTCACGGGGTGTCCCAGTGAGCCCAACCCTAATGAAGCTAAAGGTTCGAGGGGCAGTCCACGGCAACTTTAACTACGGTAATGGTTACCCACGGTACCCAACATACAGCTCTTTTTCTGTTTTGTGCAGCAGCACCAGGAGGTGGTGCTGAGGAGACCACTCGGCCACAGGTTGGAGCATCAGAAGAGGTGGTCCTGGGGAGCGGGAGGCCCCACAGAAACTGGTAAGGGGCCCTGCGCGTCAGCAGCTTCTCATTTTATTGTAATCCCCAGACTACTGGTGCACTTCTGCCATAGACACTTTCTATAGCGCGATAACTTAAAGTATTTGAGGGATTTTTCTCATATTTAGCAGACGCATTTTTTGGGTGAAGATCTGGAATTTGTCACATTTTGAGACAGATTGCACCAGGATTGAAGCAGCACTGCTTAGCGGCAATAAAGGGAAGCATTTAACCTTGTGAACCTTGTGAATTTGGTGGATCTTATTACCACTTATTATATGGACAAAAGTCTCCATCTAGCTTCCTTCTGAGCCAAATTGCACTAGTCACCAGGTTTGCAGTTGAAGCAGAGTCTCATGTAATGGTGGCACGTGAAAGGACAGCCACAAACACAGATGTGAAGAACCTGGTGACCGGGCTAGAGATTGTAAAGTTTAGATTTTGTGATGGGAGTAGGCTTTAGATTGGGGGGGAAATGTACTGGGAATACATTGTTGTCATTCTGAGGGCATCTAGTTCGTGCGAGTCCAGAGATTCCCGCCTCCCTGATGGCTTTGTACATCCACTCTCTTTTCTTAAAAGCCTTTAAGTGTCATATGCAGGCATCTATGTGCTTTTCTCGCTTAGGCCTTAAAACTATAAATACATTACTGTTTGTTTATTGGTTTAAATATAATTTATATAGCCTGATTTGTCAAGGTACCAGCAGATATTTTTATGTTAATGATACTACAGGACTGACTACAGGTGTGGGCCCGGAGTGCTATGACGTGTGCGGGGGTGCTATGACGTGTGCGGGGGTGCTATGACGTGTGCGGGGGTGCTATGACGTGTGCGGGGGTGCTATGACGCCGAGGCATGTGGGGGTGTAATGTGGGTCTCTAGGTGACATTCAGAACAACGGGACACCTCAGGGTGCCAGTTATTTCACAACCCCACCATGTGTGGTGCCCACACCCTCCTCTGCCATGCCCATTAAATATCCCCCCCCCGGTCACGGCTTCCCATCTGTGCCATTGTTCTACACCTGTGTTCAGGTCATTGCGGACACCCAGCTTCCCTGGACTTCCTGCCAGTTTATGTGCCCTCCGGTGGTGCATTGACCACCATTTTTAGCTTTAAGCCTGGTGTGATGAATGAAAAATCATCAGGTCACAGGAAAGCTGTGGCGACGTCCCTCGACGTCCCTCTCTCCACGCTTCCTCACCTGCTGACGCACTTAGCGTGATTAAACTGCGTCTGAGCCTCTACTCGGCACATCAGATTTATTTAAAGGGCTGAATCTCTGACTTTAATACATTGCAGTCATGTACGTATTTAAGATGTGTGTTGTTTATGGTGGTTGGAACACCCATGTGTGGTGTGGTATGTCAGTGAGGCAAAGCCTTTCTTTCAGGCACACAAGACCATTGGAAGTTCACCTTTTAGGGATTAATGGTGTCTGTCTGTCTTCTGCCCTGGTGTGATATATGCGTGTCCCATACATTATACAGACATTCTGGAGAAGTCTCAGCTTGTTGTGATGGACTCTCTGTCCCCTCCCACCCCCCCATCCTGTCTTTGTCCCTCCTCCAGGGGACCGGCGGACCACCTCCCACCTCAAACAGAACGCGAACTCCGGCGGAGGCAGCAAGCGACTGTCCTCGTCCTCCCTGGAGAGAGGTGGGTTATTCTCCGTCGTGACGGCCCTCGCTCTCCACTGTCTGCTTTTACAGAGGAATGGTGGTATAGCGCCCCCTATCTCCCAGGAGTGCATTGGACGTGGATGACCCGGCCTTGAAGCCTGTGACGTGACCCATGACACCGAATCACACTTTCCTGTGTGGCTCTGCCTTCCCCTTTCTCTGTTCTGTTGTTTCAGGTGGGGGTGTGATTTACTGACACAATCACGTGAATCTTGTCATGCCATGAAATGATTGGCAGCTCCCTGGTATTGCTGCATGCCCGCCTGTCCCGCAGGTGCTTGTGGGATTGGCACCTTTCCACATGCACTGCGTGGTACCACCGCTCTCGCATGCTGGTTAAGTCTGCAGATGAAAGGATATGAAAAATTAGTATCGCGATGATAGTGACAAAATTATCATGGTTTAGTAATATCAGTATTATCGTGGTATTGTTTAAAATGTGCTGCAAAAGTTCAAAAGGTACTGATGCACATTGAAATAATTTCACAAGTATTATTATTTCAAGTTTTATATTGAAAACCGCCAATAACAATGCATTTTGTTTGTACATTCAAAATAAACATATGAAAACCATATCAATTATTCAACATTGCTTAACATAAAAAATCTCGAGTGCTGCCACTGCCTTCCGCCATGACACAAACCTAACCCATGCTACTTATTTTACAATGTTACAATGTAACAAACTGCTACATATTTCAGCTTTTGTATTGCGGTTGGCAAAACCAAGTATTAAGGGTGTTCAGTTTGCCCTTAACAAAATGGCCAGGTAAAAAAATAGCAAAATATCTGAAGAAATAATCGAAGCAAAAAGAATTCACACTTTAAGTTTTAAATTCTATAAAACATGCACTGCTGAAGACAACGGCTACTTTTCATTGCAGGGCTGCATATCCCTTGGCTGTAACTAGGCCTGTTTTTGGGTGCTACAGAAAAATCCCGCACACCCACTAAAAGGTGCATCGTCCTCCTTTATTCATACTGGCTTCTTCTGAGCGTACGTATGTACCTCACATTATCACATTCTAGCAGTAAATCATAGTTAAGGCCGTGACTGCGGACCAGCCGATGGGATACAAATTGCTGTCACTGTTTGTTTAAAGCCCGTTCTGTATGAATGACCCAGTTATCAGTCGTCTGCCTGGCTCAGCACATCAGCACTCATTTATCGGAAGGTAGTCGGCAGAGTGATGTCATATGAGTAAGACCCTTAACCCCAGTCAGCTCAGGACCCGGCTGGTCCTGCTCTTTGACCCTCACCTCTACGTCACTTCGAGCGCAGTGGAGGGCCAGTCTCCGATACGTTTTGCGGGTTTCCATGCTCAGACACGCCTACTAGACTTGGTCGTTAGCTGGTTCAGATGTGTTTGAGCAGGGAAATCTGCAGACTGCCTGTGCTCACTTCAATTTTGTAAAAGTTACCTCTGTTTCATGCTCAATCAGCTGCATTACCGCAAACAAATTCCACACAGGGTTCATTTTGCGAAATGTGTGCATAGTGTCAGCTTTCTGTTTGTGAGCGGCTCTGCGTACCAGCCCCTGTGTACCATATTGATTTGTGCTGATAGAAAGCTGAAAAGCCTGTATTGATTTTTTTTAAAGGCTAATGCAGATCAGTGTGTGTGTTCATCTGTGTTGTCAATATTTGGACCAGTGAAACCAAGCTGCTTGTCAAATGTCTCCGTCTGTCTTGTTTACGTGTCACTGCTCAGTGGAACTCCCATGACCTCGTCGTATTCAGCCTGTACTTTCTGGTTCATGCTGTCACATGAGTGTCAGACACATTCACTGGTGTCTATGTTCCACCTGGAAAGTAAGAAGCTCTTCCCATCCCCTGCCAGACAGCCAATCACGGCCTGGCGAGGCGTCCTGTGATTCGCTGCCGTGTGAAGGTCCCAGGCCGTGAAGGTCCCCCGCTGTGCCCCGCCTCGTGCCCCCCACTCACCAGCTGCACAATTCAGCTTCTCTCCCATTCCAGCCCCCCCCCACTCCGCTTCCTGGCCTGTTCCTCCATCCCCTCCCAAGCTGATCACTCTCTGCTCTCCTCCCATGCAGCCTCAACCCGTGTTCCCATGACCAGCCGCAGCGGTGACCGGCAGAAAGCGCAGTCCCCCTCTCCCGTCACCGGGGGCAGCGATGGAACACAGGTGAGCTGTGCTGAGGGGGCAGGTGTCCACAGTAAAGCACAAGAACAGTACGTACTTTACAGCAGCTAGCAAATTATAGTGAGGGTTGGAATGGGGAGAGAAAAGTGGAAAAACAAGTGGTGTGTGTGTGTGTGTGTGTGTGTGTGTGTTGCCCGCTGGTTATGGTGCTAGGAAACTGCTAAATAATGCTCAGTCCCACTCATTTTTCCTGCATGTCACTTTAGGAGCGTGGTCAGATTATGGAAAGTGATACAGATGCTCGTTGCTTTACAATAGTTTGGCTTAATGGGTTAAAGCAGTCTATGAGGGTCACTGAATCTGGATTGGTTCTCCTCCTATCTAACTAATAGGAGTTTCCCGGTTGGTTTTGCAGATTTTCATTGGTTACTGCTCCTCTGACACATGGAGTGCCCCGAGGTTCGGTTCTTGGACTGGTTCCATCCTTCCTCTGTCTCAGATTATCAACTCTTAAGTGTATTAATCGTCTCCTCAGCCTAAGCGTATTTCATACGACTTTTATTCAGATGATATTCAGCTCTGTTTTATTTCAACCTAATCAAATCAATAAAGTATCCATTCTGCTTGACTGCCCGTCACAGATTAAGAACTGGCTCTGCAACAATTATCCGCCGCTGAATTCAGGAAACACTGAGGTCCTTATTGTTGCTCCTCCTAACCATCACTCTGAGATGAGTGTTAAGATGGCTTCCGTCTCTCCAGCTGCCAAATCCAGTGTGTAATCTGGGGGTTATCATAGCCCAATCTCTAAGCCTACATTCATATGCAAGGTTTGTTGCACGCTCTTGTTTCTTTCAGTTAAGAAACATTTCCAAATTACGGACTGTAGTTTCCTAATCGGAACTGGAGATGCTCGATCATGTGTTGCAACTTGATTACTATAATGCTTTGTACACGTCTAAGCAAATCTTCCCTTCCCCGCTTACAGTTAGTTCAGAATGTTACTGCGGGCTTTTAACCTGATCTGTTCGGAAAGCACATATTACCCGGAAATTGTACGCACTGCATTAGCTTCTGGATGAGTATAGAATCCGTGTTAAAATTTTGCCGCTCGCCTATAGAGCTCTGGATGGGCAAGCGCCCAAATACATTAGTGGGCTCTTGCACTGCTTGTCTGGCACTTAGGTCTGGGCTGCAGGGTCTTTGTTCCATGTACCTGGCTGAAGATACGCGGAGATTGTGCCTTTCAGCCTGACTTTGAGATGGTCTCTCGCTGGCATCGCACTCGGCTGAGTCAGATGACTCGTATAAAAAGCGACTTTTTGTTTAAGCAGGCAGTTTAAATGGAGTTGATTAGTCTTTTGCTTGTAGTCTTTTTTTTTTTTAGTAGTGTTTTTGCTAATGTACTTTTCCTTGTTTCATCTCGATGGTACTTCCAAGCGTTTTAGTGCTGTGCAGCGCTTTGTGACCTCTTGTCTGTGAAAGGCGCTTCATAAATAAATAAATTTTACTTATGTTTCGAATTCACAATGGTGAGATAGTGATGCGCATACAGTAGTTTGAATTTTGATCTGTTCCTGAGCTGCAGATATGGTGTTCGGTACAGTCTACTGATGCTGGGTGATGTCATGCAGCCATGCTTTCAGTCTTTGTAGTGATTGTATCTCCGGCTGTGTTTAACAACATGTTGTGCTGTTTTTTTCCATTTAACTACTACTGTTTTAAGCTACTAAAAGCCTAAATTTGTTATACCATAGTCATATTACATATTTTCACCTTAAGATGGTTTCATTGGACTGGTCCGACGTCCCCTGAGTTTGGCTTCCGGTGATCCCAGGCTGCCAGCCTCACGGATTTGGGGGGATCTTGCCCTCTTGTCTGCTACAGAGTCCTCAGTCCTTTATTTCAGTGGTAGGACCCAAAAGCACCACATCCAGGCGGACAGGCAGAACATGGGCAGCGTAATTCACATCGCTCATGTTTACCATGTTTACAGCGTGACCTGGAAAATAACCACAGCGTGAGGAGCTGCGAATTCTGCCAGCTGGCGGCATCATACAGTCCAGTAGCTTGGAGCACCTCCCCCTCGTCTAACAGATCAGTGCTTATCTAGTACAGGAGCATAGTCAGCCATAGAGAGTGCGGTGTTCCGGGGAGGGGGGGTGGCTCTGCAGGTTGGTATTCTCTGCCCGCCATCGGAAGGTTGCTGGTTCGGCACACTGATGCTGCCATTGGGCCTTTGAACAAGGCCCTTAACCCCCCAGCTGGGGGGGGGGGGCGCTGGATGCTGGCCGACCCTGTGCTGTGACCCCCAAATTTGTTCTCACCTGTATGTGTGTCTGTGTGTCTCGGAGAGCAAGATGGGGTAGGTGAGAAGAGATTATCTCCATGGAGACGAATAAAGTAAAATGTAAAAATCTTTTGTTCTGTTCTGTTTTGTTGTAGAGCACAGGACACTGAAGATGGGATGCCAGTGCTGTATTTAACACACTTTCTGATTCTCCAATGTGTTGTTTTGGTTATAAGGTTCATTCAGGTGTTAAATGTTTTGGTGAACCCCCCCTTTATGGTGATATGTTGAAAGATAGACATTAACCAACCACCCCCCTCCCCCCCCCTTACGGTGGGGGCCCACGGGGACTGTAACGATTTGTAGGAATGCAGGCAGGACTATTTTTACCTGTGAAGTAGGTTAATGGAAAGACAGCCTATTAGGTTCAATCAGCATGCAAGTCAGAGATGCTTTAAAGCTACAGTGGCTCTAACCAGCCCTGTCACTGTACTCCATCCAACCCAGTTTATTCCAGCCCTGTCACTGTACTCCATCCAACCCAGTTTATTCCNCCAGCCCTGTCACTGTACTCCATCCAACCCAGTTTATTCCAGCCCTGTCACTGTACTCCATCCAACCCAGTTTATTCCTTAACTCTCACACCTACCCCTGGGTCAAATTAACCCCAAAGGCACGTGTTGGGTAACCTCATAGTAATACGATTATTGTTGGAGATTGTAAGAGTAATCATCTCTCGAGCCTAAGGTATTCTTTGGTTGATGCCCCCCCCTAAGTATCGTGTGTCCGTGACTCTCAGTGGAGCCTGCAGTCTCCCCATTGTGAAACTGGGTAATTGAGGTGTACTGGGGGCATGGAAGCCCCTTTATTAAATTGCACTGAGCTCACACCTGGTACTCCTGTGCCCCCTAAGTGACACTCTGAGGAGTCCTGATTAGGGAATCCTGATGACAATGAACGCCATGTGACTCTGTGTCGCTCAGCTGACCCTTCAAGGCACTGACATGTGAATGCTCCCCCCCCCTCACTCTGACCACAGCAGAAAAAAGAGAAAGAGAAGCGCTTCTCATCCCCGGGGGCCAAACGGCCCGCCTCCCCATCCAGCGTGCCGCGTGCCACCTCCCCGGGCCCCGGGGCCCCCTTCATTGCCCAGAGGAGGCCCCCATCTCCTGCCTCGGCCAGGTAGGATGCTATGCTTTTACCTCATTTTCAAGCAGCTGAGACAACAGGAAACGGCGCCTCCTGCCAGTCAAGGGTCTGCAGTTCAGGTAACCCCCCACCCTCCCAACAGGCAGGGCTCATGCCATCGCCCCCCCTCACCCACCACGGGGCGACAGCAGCCACCGTCCCCACAGCCGAGCTGCAGGGCCCCTCCGCTCCAGCGGCCCGCGCTCACCCCCACCGGCCCCCCCACTCTCCGTAAGCGGGATGCCAAGCAGAAGGACGGCTCCCCAGTGCAGCTTCTCCCACCGTACTGCCAGGATACACCAGGGGGCAGCATAGCGCCTAACAGGACCAAAGACGGTGGGTGACCCGTCCACACCCAGGTATGACGTGTAGGGAGGCTTCCCTCATCTTCATTCTTTTATTTTTTTTTACTGATTTGGCTTAATTAGTTATGAAGAAAAACCAAAATGGGAACGTGTTAAATTAAAAAATAAAAACAATAAAACAAGACCTGATAAGTCCGACATTTAAGAAGCTGTCCTTCACGTTCTGCCTCACTAGACTGACTGGTATTGCACCCTCTAGTGTCACTGTTTTGTTGCGCTCTGCCACCCCCTGCTGTCCAAATTAATGTACTGAAAATCACTGTGCTGAAATGCTGCCAAATGGGTGAGTTATTCAGGCTGAATGTGTGTAGTGAAGGATGCGTGAATGAGCTCTTTAGCAGTGACGAGAGGGGGGGGCATAAAGGACGTTAAGTGGGTGGCTGCCCCCTCTCTGTCCCCGGTCTGAGTGCCTCGTTTTACTCGTACAGCAGCGCGGTGCCTTACTGCCAACTGTGCCGCAGATTCGGGTGCGAAGCCCATCGCGGGCTCCACCTCCGCTGAGGAGGCTGCCAAGATCCTGTCGGAGAACCGCCGGCTGGCACGGGAGCAGAAGGAGAAGCAGGAGCAGCTTCGGATCCAGAGAGAGGAGGAGGACCGGTGAGGAATGGTGCAGGGTGTATAGAGAGTCAGTGAGCCTCCCCTCGCCTTTCAGATATCCAGTGAGGAATGGTGCAGGGTGCATAGAGAGTCAGTGAGCCTCCCCTCGCCTTTCAGATATCCAGTGAGGAATGGTGCAGGGTGCATAGAGAGTCAGTGAGCCTCCCCTCGCCTTTCAGATATCCAGTGAGGAATGGTGCA